GAAAACTGACAAAATGGTAGCCAGGTTAGACTGTAAATCCTGGCCTGGTGGGGAGTAGTTACCTAAAATAGGAAAGGAAACAAGATCTGTGGAGGACAGGAATTCAAAGTAACAGACCAAACTTTTAGAACCACTTTTTGTGGTTACTAAAATTCAAAGATTTGTGACAGGAACAGGGTTGAACTTGCATTAGTGATCACTAAATATTATCGTGGGGCAGTGAAAAGAGGTTTTAAGACAGTGTTTCTCTGTGTAGCCTGGCTGTCTTGGAATTTTCTCTGTAGGCCAGGCTGGCCTCAAACTCAGAGATCGACAGACCTCTGCCTCTTCAGTGCTGGGATCAAAGGTATGCACCACCATGCCTGGCTTTTTTTATTCTATGTGCATGAGTTCATGTGTGCACAGCTTGTGGGGATTGCTTCCCTTCTTTTATTCTGTGGTTCTGGAGATTGAACTCACTAGCTGGCCAGCCTTGTTTCATCAGTGAGTTCCAGGTCAACACCCTAATTCCAGAGGGGAAAAAAAATCCCAGACCACAAACAACAACAAAAAGTGGACATAGACAGTATCTGAGGAAAGACATTTGTCCCTTGGCATCCACATGCATGTGAACACATAGACGTATACCTGCACACAAAGCAAGACACACTTAAACTTGTGCTCCTCTGTTAATCTCTTCTGTGCTCAGTTATTAGAGTGCACTGCTTCACTGGCTTGCAGGTATTTATTTATTTAATCATCCATCTCTTTCTTTCTTTCTTTCTTTCTTGCCAGAATTTTAACCACTAAATTGACTATTTTTTTTAAAAAAGATAAATGCTGAAAAATGTTTTGTGATTTCTTCGGGCTACTTAGATTATATTAAATACAACTTAACCTAAAATATTTAAAAATTACTCTTTGTTTTGCTTGTATGTATCATGATCATACGGTGGTGCTCATGGAGGCCAGAAGAAGTGCATTGGATCCCCTGGAACTAGATGGTTATGAGCTGCTGTGTGGGTGTTGGAAATTGACCCAGATCCTTTGGAAGAGAGCCAGTGCCCTTATCTGCTAAGCCATCTTGTCTATTCCAACCCCATTTCCCCTTTTTTTCCTCTTAAAATCAGATTGATAAAGAGAGGCAAAAGCCTTGGACTCAGATTCCATCAAATGTTCCCAACCTTTTGACATTATGACATGATGTGCTTGTGATGGTCTGTCCTATCCCTTTAAGAGACAAGCCCCACCCACTCCTACCCCTGTCGCTGAGGCAAGCAGATCTTCCTTCCACTTTTAGCCTAAGTACTTTCCTTCCCATCTCTCTCCTAAAGAGGCAGCTTCTGCCTCTCTCCCTTCTCCTCACTTCTTCCCTTCTACCCCCTCTCTGTTTCTCATTCTCTCTCTCTGCCTCTCTCTCTGCTCTTCTCCCTTTTTCCCTTCCCCCTTTCCCTTTCCCATACATAACTCACTAAATAAATACCCACTTTCTCTGCATGATGTGCCTAATAGGTATCTGTCTCTCACCTGCCTGGGACCTGCTGCCTTCATGGCCCACCACCTCTGCTGCCACTCGGGGACCTGCAGCGTTTTATTTTTACCATAACAGTGCTCTCATTTGCAAAGTTCATGCTTGAAAATAAAATTACACAGTTGAGTTATGAAAAAAATCACAAAAGTTTAATCTCTTAAGCTTATGATTATGTGTTGGGCTATAATTGTGATGTCATTGACTGCATATGACCCATGTTGGACATGCCTTGTATCTGGTTAGTAGTGCAACTTTAACATATGACCCATGTTGGACATGCCTTGTATCTGGTTAGTAGTGCAACTTTAACTTCTTTTATTCTATTTCATTTGTAAATAGTGTGAAGTTGACTGAGATTTATAAGTTCATTTATAGCTCTGTCCCAATGTCGTCTCCAAACACTCCTTTATTATGTTATTGTGTGAAGTTGTCAGAGGTTGTGTGTGCAAAGGAGTTGCCCTCTGTGTAAACCTTGACCAAGTTAGCAGTCAGTATTCCTTCAAAATATAACTTCTCTTGTGTTCTTGTTTTGTTTGCTTTCAGTCTTCTTCCTTAATTTTGTTGGCTTAATACCTTCACTCTTTTACAAAGTAAAGTTTATGAACTTCAGTTCTTAATATGTTTTTGGTTGTGAACCTAGCTTTTGCTGGCTGAGCCATCTCTCCAGCCTGTAGACTTTCAGTTCTTACTGAACACAAATCAGTCTTTTTAGCTACTGGAGTCACAGCTACATATTGAATGGTTAACCCTCTTAGAATAAAATAGTGTTGAGAATGGGAGGTGCTGAAGACTACATGGATTTTATATGGCTGTTCTAGATTTAGTGAAATGAACATTTTTGAGATATCACATTTCAAGAAATTGTTTTAGTAGTACTTGTTTGGTTTAATCTTAAGAGAAGCCGCTCCGCTGACACAATAATAACTCCAATTAAACCAGATTAGACTAAATTAAAATGCTTGTACTCGGGTGGCCGGGAGCATGGCGAGGGAGAGACACATAGAGGGGCGGGGGACCCATGCAAACCCAAAAACCATGTGTTCCCTTCTCCAAGGTAAGCCTAAATACCCTGTGGGAGTGGTCCTGACCCTCCCGGGGAGGGGTCATGGTGTAGGAGGTCCTTCTGTATTTGTGTTGCTTTCATTGGTTGAATAAAGAAAGCCTTGGCCTTTTGATAGGGCAGAACTTAGATAGGCAGGGAAGACAGAACTGGATGCTGGGAAGGACAGACAGGCAGACACCATGGTTCTCCTGCCCAAGCACTATTCCTATCTTACAATCAGATCTCTAACTGGTTTACAAAACCTCCCTGAAAGAAACAAAATTCCCTCTCTCTCTCTCTCTCTCCCTCTCTCTCTCTCTCTCTCTCTCTCTCTCTCTCTCTTGCACACACGCATACACAGGTTCAAATAAAAGTGTGATTACTGCACATATATGAAGAGTGCTTTAATATTGAGTTGAAAGTTTCACCCCAGCCTGCCAGGGGCTTGGACTCCAACGCCCACCCTGCCAAGCACTGACCCTGTAGTAAGGAGGAGCGGGCTGCGTCCAATCCCAGACTGGCTTACACCTGGGCCGGTGGGCTGCTTGTTGTCCTGTCACCTGGCTAATTTATACCCAAAATAACCACACAGAAAACTATTAATTAAATTACTACCTGGACATTAGCTCTAATTTCTTATTGGCTAACTCTTACATCTTGATCTAACCCATTTTTATTAACCTGTGTTCACCACGAAGTCGTGGCTTACTGGGAAAGATTCTAACCAGCGTCAGTCTCAGGTAGGAGAATCGTGGCGTCTGTCACACTGCCCTTTTTTGTAGACCAGGCTGGCCTTGAAATCACAGAGATCCGCCTATCTCTGCCTCCCAAGTACTGGAATTAAAGTCGTGTGCCACCAATGCCTGGCAGGTTTCTATATTTGAAGCCAACTTAAAGGCTACTGTTTAGATGAGGAGGAAGCTATTTCTTTTGCATTTTTTGTAGCTTTCTTATTCTGATAGCTGCATTATTAAAGGTTGGGATCAGCCCTTGTTTGTTTATATAGTGGGGGCTTATTTCACCCATGCTCAGAATTTTTTTCTGAGTAAAATAAAATCTCATGAGCTAACCTGGGTAGCAGAATGATTATTAAGGCTTCTGGAGGTAATCCAGGGAGTGGATATTCAGGAATAATGAAGCAATGAAGCCAAAATCTAGTAGAGTTTCAAGTTGGGGCATGAATAAATATAGGTCAAGGGGATGCTTGAGTGTATGGGTCATGTTCCATCCCTTTTCATGTTGTCCTGCTTCCTCCTGAAGTAGTTAAAGAACAGAGCCAGGAGAGTATTCTGAACTTTAGTCCTAAAAACAAAGGATGAACATTATGCCAACATGTATTGTCAATCTAATGGTAATATTAAGTGGAAAAATATGATAAATCAGTATATTAATATTAAGATGCTTGATGCATTGAGTTTTCATGTAGCTCTGACCAAGTACCAAGTTTTTATTGTAAATCTGATGGTTACTTGAAGCATTATTACCATCAGTAGCAATATTGCCTTGTTTGGTGGTGACTCTTCAGTGAGTCTGTCTGCCTTGCAAATACATTTATGTCAAGGAGGTCCAATGATCCAGTTGCCACACTAACTACCAGGAGGGTTTTTTTTTCTGCCCATATTCCTTAGACTTCTGGACTTAGACCGCTTTTGTTTGAGATAATATAATTATTAAAAGAGAGAGAGAGAGGCCCAATAGATGGTATAGCGGTTAAGCAAAAAGTGATCTGCCATAGGACTGGTGTTCATTTCTAGCACCCATGTATATATACAAGGCTTTCTTTTTTCAGAGACTTATTATTAGTTATGAATGTTTGGCTTAACTTAGGCTCGTTTCTAGCTAGCTCTTGTAACTTAAAATTAACCTCTCTTTATTTACTTTTGCCTGGGGGCCTTTTACCTTTCTGTATATTTTACTTTCACTGCTTCTTGTGTCTGGCTGGAGGCTGCCTGTCTTTTGGGCAAGTCCCTTTATTTCTCCCTCCTCTTCTCAAGCCTAGAATTTTCCTCCTATTTATTCTCTGTTCCTGACAGTTTCACCTATCATTTCTCTGCCTGGATATTGGCTGTTCAGCTTTTTATTAGACCAATCAGACAAGGTGAAACAAATACAACATATCTTTGCACTCGAAGAAAGGCAGAAGAACAAATGTAACACATCTTTACATAGTTAAATATTCCACAGCACATGTAGCTTGGAACTACTTGTAACTCCAGCTCCAAGGGATCGAATGTTATTTTCTGGGTTCCTTGAGCTCCCACATAAACATGGCACACAAAGAGATACAAACAAATATAAACATAAGTAAATAAATGATAAAAGAGATAAGGTAAATTTTGTCAGTAAAGTTTTTTTCTTTGAAATCAATATAGGTCATGCTTATGGGTTCTACATTTAGATTTGAAACTAATTGTAGACAAGTTAAAATTTTTCCTTTTTTTCTTGCAGGTGTAATCCAGAGAACAGTTTTCAAACATCTTTGCTTACTTTTGACACTGAGCAGTTGGGATTTAGGCATATGAGGAGGTACTGTCACACAAAACAGTGTCTAGTGAAGACGACAAGAAAGAGAGAAAAGGATCGGAAAAAGAAGCTAAAATTCCATAGGAAACCATGGTGGGTGATTACTGGTATTTCTTCATTTTTTAGTTATAAAAAATTATGTATATTGTAAAATTGGCAATGTTAACAGTAAGGGTAGATAGTGAACAATTGTCTTGGTTTCAGTGCCTCAGACAAATATGGTTGCTCTACTATTTTAACTTGGCATATGTATGAAGGTCAGAGAATGACTTAAACAAGTTGGGTCTCTCCCTTCTACTATGTGGGTCCCATGGATCAAGCTAAGGTTGTTAGACTTTTCTAATCTTTAAGAAAAGATGAGGGAGCAGGGGAGGTGGTTCAGAGATTAAGAGCATTTTCTGCAATAAACTTGGATTGGGTTCTCAGCAGGCATTTGGTGGCTCACAACCATTTGTAAGGCCGGTTCTGAATGATCCAATGCCCTCTTCTGGCTTTCTTGTGTACTGCATGTGTGTGGTGCACACACATGCTATGCTGTGTGGCAAAAAGCACCCACACATATAAAATTAATAATACACAAATCTTAGCAAAAAATAATAAATCTTAACAACAACAGAAAAATTAGAAACCACATTTTAGAGCCCAAGCTATGGCTACTGTATGCCATAACTCACTAAATACAAAGAGTATGAATACTAAACAATACTTTAGAATAAAACTGGCATTAACAAATTACTGTAGTTCAGTAATCTTGAACTTTAAGTAATATCTATCTAGACCTTTACATGAAGTTCAGATGAAATTTAAATAATTTTTCTTCCTCATGAAAATTAAATAATTTATCCAAATGAATGGTGGAAGAGTTTCTAAAACATGAATTATAACTGGAAAGGTACCACTTTTACATGCTTTTAATATAATAGAGTTAATTGTTGGGTATAGTGGATGTCAAGGAAGTTTGGGTTTTGTGAGAGGTAAAACTTTGAATTCATGGTGTTAGATGAGGTCTTGGTCCTTACATTTTTAAATTACATTTTTGTGTATTGCGTGTATTCTGTGTGTACATGAATTTGCATGCCATAGCATATATATGTAGGTCAGAAGACAACTTACAGGAATTGGGTCTCTTCCTTTTACTGTGTGGGTGCCATGGATCAAGCTCAGGTTGTCAGGCTTGGTTGCAGGTGCCTTAACAGCTGAGCCCATCCACCAACTGGTGCCTAGGTAAGATTTGCTGAGTTTTTACCCTTCATATTTTAGTTATACAGAATATTGTGTAAAATTTCCCCCCAAGTAAGTGGTTTTAAAAGACATTGTAAGTTAGGAGAAAAAGAATAAAATATTAATTACCAGTGTATTTTTAAATATATTGTTTAGCAAGTATGATAGTATTTCTTTAGATGTTAAATGCTTCTAAAAAGTATTTTGCCAAGGTCTGAAAGCAGCTAATTTGCTTTTATGGAGAAGAAATTCTGTAATATCTTAGTTCAGAATGGTGGGAAAAAATGTTAACTTGGGTTTTTCTCTGTTGATCTCTGTTTTTTTGTGAAATACAGGAAAAAAACCAGTGTGACTTGTGTTGCCTTCCTTGTGAATTATCTGCTTCTAGCAGAATTTAGTTTTGTTTTAATTGTAGTCTTTATAGTCCTATGATTTAATGTCATATTCATATATATATATATATATATATATAAAATGTTGTAATAGGAAGCGGCAGGCCGCTTCCCGCCATCTGGCTAGCTTTACCCAAAATAATTACATGGAAACTGTATTCTTTTAAACACTGCTTGAAGCCGGGCGGTGGTGGCACACGCCTTTAATCCCAGCACTTGGGAGGCAGAGGCAGGCGGATCTCCGTGAGTTCGAGACCAGCCTGGTCTACAAGAGCTAGTTCCAGGACAGGCTCCAAAACCACAGAGAAACGCTGTCTCAAAAAACAAAAACAAAAAAAAAACAACAAACAAAAAAAACCACTGCTTGGCCCGTTAGCTCTAGCCTCTTATTGGCTAGCTCTTACTTATTGATCCAACCCATTTCTAATAATCTGTGTAGCCCACAAGGTGGCTTACCAGGAAAGATCTTAACCTGCGTCTGTCTGGAGTGGGAGAATCATGGCGACTGCCTGACTCAGCTTTTTTCTCCCAGCATTCTGTTCTGTCTACTCTACCTACCTAATTTTCTGTCCTATCAGAGGCCAAGCAGTTTCTTTATTACTTAACCAATGAAACAACAGATAGAAACATGACCCTCCTCCATCAATAATACATATATAAAGCTTTTTTGTAGTTAATTTTAGCTTAGGTGATGTAAAAATTTTGTGTTCTAATTAATTTCATTCATCATTTTTTGGTTTTTAGTGCTGCTTTTGATTTTTTAAGATTCAATGATCATTTTTCTGTTTTATTGTATAGTTCTTCTGGTCTAATTATTTTAATACTTAAATATGTTTGTCTGGAGCTTATTGGAATAAATCTTTCAGTGATTTTGATGGTGAATGCAATACATGTGTTAATTAGCTTGGGAAATTGATTGCTTTGGAATATGTATTTTCCTTGTTATGAAATTTGGAGTTCTTCTTGTTCAAAGTCTTACATCAAAGATTTGAATGTCAAATGCTAAACATTTTTGTAGTGGCTTCCACATTCACATTATAAATTTGCATCTTTTATTTTTACTCTGTTATATAGTCTTAATTAAAGTATGCAAATCTCTAGTGCTTTGGGAGGTGGCCAGGTGTCATGTTGTGAATAACCATCATTCATTTCTAGAGAAATGAATTTATTTTTTTCCTTCCTCGATACAAGGTTTCTCTATGTAGCCCTGACTGTCCTGGCTGTAGAGCAGGCTGGCCTTGAATTCACAGAGCTCCATTTGCTTCTGCCTCCCCAGTGCTGGGATTAAAGGCGTGTACCACCACCGCTTCTGTGTTTCTAGAGATTCTTGAAGCTACAATGTCATGTGGTATGGATTTTTTTTTTCTTGTTCTTTTTTTGGAAGGGTTATCAGAAAGCACAGGTTCAGATGAAAGACAAAGTGTGTACAGTGCTTAGTGTGACTGATGTGAATATTATCATCACATGAGTGAAATAACTGCTATTTTTTGGGGTGCGGTTTAATAAAATAGGACTTACACATTTATGCACATTTTTTATTATTTGAACATTAACTGCTTTACAGTGGTTGTCAGTTGGTGCCATGTTGTCTTAAAACACTGTTATCCTTTGAAGGTGACATTTCTTTTGTTAAAGTTTTTCTCCCTCCCTTCTAACAGAGATCTATTAGATCTTTTGCCAATGACGATCGCCATGTTATGGTGAAGCATTCAACAATCTATCCATCTCCGGAGGAGCTTGAAGCTGTTCAGAATATGGTGTCTACTGTTGAATGTGCTCTTAAACATGTCTCAGACTGGCTGGATGAGAATAAAGGCACAAAAACTGATGGAGAGACAGAAGTAAAGAAAGATGAGACGGTGGAAAACTATTCCAAGTGAGTGTTGAATAGCTTTTATCAAGCTTTGCTTGAAAAGCTTGTGGGTACTCTGATTTGGTGCTGTATTTGCTGTTCTTTGAATTTTATCATATGTGACATAACCAAGAAAGTAAATGTTTCATGGAATTTTTTTTTTTTCTGAGTTAAATTCTGTAAGAAAGTGAGGAAGAGTAATTAGTAGAATCAGAAAAAAGATAATCCTTACAGGACCCCTTTTGATAGTACACTAATGTTTGAAGATTATGATATTTCATTTGCTATGTTGGTTTAGCCTCCTAAGTTCTAAAATAAATAGTAATAAATAGTAATATTTTCTTTTTCAAGAAAGTCAGAAATACTGTTTCTAGCTGGGCATGGTGGCGCATGCCTTTAGTCCCAGCACTCCAGAGGCAGAGGCAGAGGCAGGTGGACAGTCTGGTCTACATAGTGAACTTCAATTCAGTCAGGGCTACATAATGAGACCCTGTCTCAAAACAAAACAAAATAAAAAATACTGTTTCTGTTGGACATTTTGAAATCATAGTATAGGAAAATATACTAGCAACATTAACTGTATTTACTTTGTTAATTCATAGAATGTATCAGTATCTTTGCACATTGTTACATAGTGTTAATGTTCATTTTGTGTTATTTGTAGAAGGAAGGACTAATGGAAGCCTGGCCTTCTAACAGTTACATGAGAAGTATTTTAGGCAGTAATAGTAGTGATCCATAAGATGAAACCACTCTGCTGCCTGCAGTCAGATCATGAGATTTTATGTCATGCCAGTTTGGAGGTATTGTTTTGAGCACTGTTGTTATGATTAGAGTAAGTCTTCCTATTCTGGGAAAATAAAGTTTACTTGATTGGTTGTACCATATTTATAGGTTTAAAACATTACTTTAGTTTTGGTTTATATAAGTGAAAAATAAGGCTTCAGAATTTCTCCTCAGCTTTCAGTTTTGTTTCACTGTGGTGAGTAGACAAGGAAGAGTAGAATAGAATTGGTAAATGGATGGTCTGTACTGAAAGATAGTGCGACTTTTTCCTCTTTAGTTCAAAGGCAAGCAGTGAGCTTCATGCTGAAGAGCATGGCAACTGACATGTAACTGCACACTGGAGTGTGTCTCAGTTTGTAGGTTCTTGTAAGGAATCCAGCGTTTTCTCAAATATGATGCTTTAACATGGTAATTCTTTATTTGGGGCTCATGGTAATGATATTTTCCAGTGATTAGATTACTTAGGGACCCACATAGTGAGGCTTTCTCTGTATATATTTTAGTTCTTAGGCAAGTTAAGTCATTAATGGTTTCCAGATTTTAATTCTAGTATTTATGCTGTTTTTTTCAAGATTTTTGAAAATTAGGACTTTTATACACAGCATTCCTGTTCCTATTCTTTATTATTGAGATTGGCTTAGTTGTAGAAAGCAATCAGACAATTTTCTGAGTTAGATGAAATTACTTTGCCTTAAATAAATGCTTTAAAAAGAATATGTGATCTACACTTTCTTTCAGTCTTTAAAATACAGCTTTATATTTGGATACTCTTCGTTGTCTGTGTCAAGTCTGCGTTTGTGGAAAAATTTCAGGTTGGGTACTTGTCTGTAATTTCTTGCCACATGGTAGAACTCAAGGAGTACCGAGTAGATCTGTTCATTACTCTGTGTAAACCAAGGGCCGATGTATCTTACGTTTAGAGTTGTGTTCCATGGACACCCGTATTTGGGCTCCTGGTCTACAATAAATGCTTCAAAGAGCATGAAGATCAACAAGATCAGGCAGAGCGTTGTTAAGCACAGTCTAGTCTTATGTCTGTGCTTTTCCTTGAATCTATTTGTTTACCTTTTTACAGTCTTGACTCCAAAGTCAAATCAGGGGCATTAGGTCTCACAATTTATATGACTAGCAATGTCAGAACTGTTTCTTCAGTTTATTTTATTGATTTACTTGTTTTCCCGTAACTGTTATATTCAAATTCATCATGTAAGTTCAGGACTTTAGAATTAGGAATTAGTTTGTCTGCTCAATCATACTATCTTTTACATGTGGGATAAGATGAGACATGTTATAACTATAATTTAGAATTTAATAAGTGCGCTTATTACTTACATTACTGTGTGCAACCTACTTTTTCCAGATCATTTTTCATTATTTCAATAAACCAACTAGCCTGTTATTATTTTGTGTGTGTGTGTGTGTGTGTGTGTGTGTGTGTGTGTGTGTTGGCAAAAGTAGTCTCTGTGTCTTCCAGATTCCCTTGCTTCCTTTTTCCTGTTACTTATGTTAGTAGGAGTGGTCTTGAGCATTCTAGGCAAGTGCTCTACCATTGAGCTATATATCATCCACTTTTTTTCTTAGTATCTGTGCTTAAGTTTCCTCTGGATAAATTAAAGAAGAGGGAGATAAAATGCTGTTGTTTCTAGTAATCAGAAAAAGCTTTATGAGCCTGACATTGGTGGCACATGCCTTTAATTATAGCAGTTGGGAGGCACAGGAAGGTGGATCTCTAAGTTTAGCCTAGTCTATAGAGCCATTTCAGTTCTAGTACAGCCAGGTCTACAAAGAGAAAGCCTGTCTTTAAAAAAAAAAAAAAGTTGGGGAGGGGAGGGAAAGAAAAACACTTTATTATAGAGGTAGTATTTGGAAATGGCTCAGAGGATCTGGTAGGGTTTTGGTAACAGTGAAGGCAAAGCAAAAATCTCTGCAAAGGTTTAGATGTGAAATAAATATAAGAACTGTTTGAGAAATAGTTGTTATTTACTGAGGTTTTAATGTATGTTGAGCTCTGACAAAGTTCCTTGCTTATATTGAATTCTATGAGAACTGCTATATGAGAAAAGGTTTAGTCCTGTTTTATGGAGAAGGAAACAGGTTCAAAGAAGTCAAGTATGTGTAATCCATCCTCTCTCACACAGTCATAGAGCCAGAGTGTAAACCAGAAAGCCAAGAGGCCTTCTAGGATTGCCTGCTACACTGTGTTGAATGTCCAAATGTTCATAGGGACATAAAGGAAAATATGTGGGATGTCATCCAAAATAGTGGTTTGGAGAGATTTTGCAGTATTCTGCATGTAATAGTGTAGTTATATATGTATTTTGATAAACAAATCTTTCCTGAATACCGGAGGCAGAGCTAAAGCCTCTAGAGGTCAAGCAATGATGACACACATCTTTAATCCCAGCACTAGAGGGAATAAAAAATGGGGGGGAGGAGGGTAGAGAGAGGCTTAGTCTGTTTAGTTTGCGATTGTCCAGCCATGGTAGAGGTAAGACTTCTCTAGTGGCTTGGCTGCTTTGCTTTTCAGACCTTCAGGCAAGATTTATTTACTAAAATACAAATAATATAATAGATCAAAGGTGCTAGAGGTAAGGCTAATAAGGAAGGGGTTATCAAAATACTCTAGTGAGAATTTGAACAGACTAGTTTGAAGACAAGATTTTTCAAGGTGACTATGGAGAAGGGACATACACATTAGTGAACCAGAGAGGGTGAGACAGAGTAAGAAACAGTTCTAGATTACTGGTGGCAGATTCCAATAGTTACTTGCATTTGTCTCCATCTCAACTTACACTGTCTTTATTGCCTTAATGTTTATTGAATCTCTATAATGGCTCAGGCACTGAGTGGGTAGTTATTTTTTAACTTCCCATCTACTTAGTATCACAGTATAGTACTGTCTTCTTCATTCTCATTTTCACTTTCTTTTGACTAACTGGCAATTTTTTGCTAAACCATGCCCCTTCCAGTCTAGTCAAACTTTACTTGCTTGTCATCTGTAATTGTAACTATTTCTTTAGAAGCAACCACAGAATGTAAAGAGCCTGACTGTTATGGTCAAGTCTCCTGAGTTTAAGTTCAGGCATTGATATGCTAATTAAAAAGAAAATAAGTTTATTTATCATGTATGTTGGGTAGTGGTGTGGTGTGTGTGTGCATATGTGAGTATATGGTGTGTGCATATGTGAGTATATGGCATGTGTGCTTCACATGTTGGGGCCATAGATTGATGTTGGGTTCTCTTTCATTCTTTCCCTCTGTCCATAGGTTGATGTTGGGTTCTCTTTCATTCTTTTCCTCTGTCCATAGGTTGATGTTGGGTTCTCCTTCATTCTTTCCCTCTGTCCATAGGTTGATGTTGGGTTCTCTTTCATTCTTTCCCTCTGTCCATAGGTTGATGTTGGGTTCTCCTTCATTCTTTCCCTCTGTCCATAGGTTGATGTTGGGTTCTCTTTCATTCTTTCCCTCTGTCCATAGGTTGATGTTGGGTTCTCCTTCATTCTTTCCCTCTGTCCATAGGTTGATGTTGGGTTCTTTTTCATTCTTTCCCTCTGTCCATAGGTTGATGTTGTGTTCTCTTTCATTCTTTCCCTCTGTCCCACATTCTTTAAAATGTTTTAAGATGTCTCTCACTGGACACCAACCACCAGGGAATGTTCCCATATCTCTTTCCCTAGTGTTCCTGCACTCAGCTTTTTTGTGGGTACTGGGAATTAGATTTCAGGCCATCATCAGTGGCCCACACTTCACCCACTGAGCCATTTCCCCCAATTTTTCTCATATGTTCTTTAGTTACTGCTGAAATTTACAGAAGTGTAAAAACAGTAGTTTGAAAAAATATTGGAGGTGTTTGAATATTCTTGGGATTCTTGAGTAATAGAGGTGTTATAATGAATTAAAATACCTATAGTGTGACATATGATCCTTGTTTAATTTTTAGGGAAAAGTAACTTTAAATGTGAGAGCCTTAAATCTGAGGTTTAATTTGTAGATTTTTGAATGTATATAATAGTTTATTTATGTAGGTATTCAGGAAGGCAATGTATGATTAATTGTAGTTTGGGAAATAGGTTATAGAAAAAATAATAATATTGCCTTTTTATTTGTAGGGATCAAGGTGGCCGGACATTGTGTGGTGTAATGAGGATTGGCTTGGTTGCAAAAGGCTTGCTGATTAAAGATGATATGGACCTCGAGCTGGTTTTAATGTGCAAAGACAAACCCACGGAAACCCTGCTAAATACAGTCAAAGATAACCTTCCTGTTCAAATTCAGGTAAGTGTTTAACTGAATTTGAGAATTTGTAAAGAGTTGAGAAACAGTGATCTTGATGACTATTAACAAGAATTGGTAAGTCAGAGATAGGTATTAAAAAAAAGAATGCCAGTGTGATTTGGTCAGTGATGAACTCACATTTAAAGCACATTTCTGGTGACTTATACTCAGGATATATTTACCAAAATAAGTCTTAAACCTTACATGCATGTCTTGCTGAGACTCTATATCTCCCTACCCCCATTTTGTGTATGTCTCTAAGTATTATAAAATTCATGGAAGAGTTGGCGAGGTACAACAAAGAAGGTCCAGCCCTGGAGGTGGAGCACGCCTTTAATCTTAGTACTCAGGAGTCAGTGGCAGGTGGATCTCTGAGTTTGAGGACACCCTGATCTACAGAGTGAGTTCCAGGACAGCTTGGGATCCATAGAGAAATCCTGTCTCTAAACCCTCCCCCATCCAAAAAAAAAAAAATCCACACAACTGTAGATAATTTCATAATAATACCTTAAAATTATTTTGAATTTAAAAATGATTTGAAGATTTGGGGCCTGAAGAGAGAGATGACTCAGGTTAAGAGCATCATCTACTCTTAAAGAGGTTTTGAGTTTAGTTCTCAGCAACCGCAAGGTACCTCACAACTATCTATAATGATCTGGTGCCCTCTTCTGGCCATACATGCAGGCAGAACACTGTATAAGTAATAAGTAGATAGTTTAAAAAGATGAAAGATTTGGTTAAATTTTAAATGTATTATTGTGTGTGTGTGTGAAGCCAGAGGACAACTTTGTGGGGTCAGTTCCCTCTTCTTACTTTTTTTAAAAAATATTTTATTTAAATATTTATTTATTTATTATGTATACAATATTTTGTCTGTGTGTATGCCTGCAGGCCAGAAGAGGGCATCAGACCCCTTTACAGATGGTTGTGAGCCACCATGTGGTTGCTGGGAATTGAACTCAGGACCTTTGGAAGAGCAGGCAATGCTCTTAACCTCTGAGCCATCTCTCCAGCTCCCCAACCCCATTCTTACCTTTGTGTGGATTTTGGGGACTGAACTTAGGCTATCAAGCTAGCATACCAAACACTTTGACCTCCTTTAGGTCTTAAGAATTAGTTAAAGTCATGCATTTCTTAAGTTTATAGAAAGTCACTCTTCCTGGTTGGTTTTCAAGTTGTTTTCCCATCGGGTTGGGTTTAGAAAGTTTTAATGCTGGCCTGCTTTTGGGCCTTGGCCACCCTAAGACCCACCTTGCCCACGTATCACAGAGATGTATTCAACATTGATTAGGAAGTTGAGATTGTCTTTCATTTCAGTTATGTGTTACCTGTAATCTATTGAATTGTACTTACTTGGTAATTCAGGCTATCTTCATATCTGTATCACAGAAATAGATGTTAGCCCATATAAGTCTAAAGTTTTTTTGAGTTGGTAAATGCTCACTTGTCTGCCCATGCTTGCTTGCTTCATTCATTCTTGAAAAATAATATATTTTTAAGGATTTTTATTTTTTAATCTTTCTAAAAACAATCTTAATTTATATAGCAATCCCAGTACCCTCTCCCTCCGGGTCTTTCCACTCCTCCCACCTTCTCCCCACTCCTCCCCTTATCCACTCCACAGAGAGGGTGATGCCTCCCATGGGGAGCCAACAAAGTCTTTTACATCACTTGAGGCAAGACCTCCCTGTGTCTAGGCTGAGCAAGGTATCCCTCCCTCCATAAGGAATGGGCTTCAAAGAGCCAGATCATGTACTAGGGATAAAATACTGGTTCCACTGCTAGTTTCTCCACAAACTGCCTATGCAATGCAACTGTCACCCACATTTAGAGGGTCTAGTTTGGTCTTAGGCAGGTTCCCCAGCTGTCAGTCTGGGCTCAGTGAGCTCCCACTAGCTCAAGTCAGCTGTTTCTGTGGCTATCCCCATCATAGTCTTGGCTCCTTTGCTCATAATATTGCTCCTCCCTCTCTATGACTGGATTCCAGGAGTTCAGCTTAGCTGTGAATCTTTGCATCTGCTTCCATCAGTTACTGGATGAAGTTTCTATAATGACAATTAAGGTGGTCATCAATCTAACTACAGAGGAGGGCCATTTGAGGCAACCTCTCCACTATTGCTAGGAGTCTTAGCTGAGGTCATCATTGTGGATTCCTGGGAGTTTTCCTAGTCCCTGGTTTCTTGCTAACCCCACAATGACTCCCTCTTTTAAGGTATCTCTTTTCCTTGCTCTCCCTCTCTGTTCTTTACCCAACTCAATTTTCTTGATCCCTCATGTTCTCCTCCCCCTCTACCTTTTTCCCCTCCCCGTTCTCCTTTCAACCTCCCCATACTCTACCCACACTGCCAATTTACTAAGGAGATTTTGTCTACTTCCGCTTCCCAGGGGGAGGATCCATGTATGTCTCTCTGAGGGTTCTCTTTGTTTCCTGTCTTATCTGGGTTGTAGACTGTATGCTCGTTATCTTTTGTTTTATATCTGATATCCACTTACATGCCATGTTTGTCTTTCTGTGTTTGGGTTACCTTACTCAGGGTGTTTTTTTCTAGTTCTATCCATCTGGCTGCAAATTTCAAGATGTCATTTTTTTAAATGCTGAGTAGTAATCCATTGTGTAAATGTAGCACATTTTCTTTATCCATTTTTTTTATTAAATTTTTTTTTAATTAGAAATTTCCACTTCCTCTCCACCTCCCTTTTCCCTTCCTCTCCCCCCACTCCCTCCCTCTCCAGTCCAAAGAGCAGTCAGGGTTCCCTGCCCTGTGGGCAGTCCAAGGTCCTCCCCCCTCCATCCAGATTTAGGAAGGTGAGCATTCTTTATCCATTCTTTGGTTGAGGAGCATCTAGGTTGTTTCCAGGTTCTGGCTATTACGAATAATGCTGCTATGAACATAGTTGAGCAGATATCCTTGTGGTATGGGTTTGTATCCTTTGGTATATGCCCAAGAGTGGTATTTCTGTGTCTTGAGGTAGATTGATTCCCAATTTTTTGAGAAACCGCCATACAGTGGCTGTACAAATTTGCACTCCCATTAGCAATGGCGGAATGTTCCCTTTACTCTACATCCTCTTTAACACAGGCTGTGGTTAGTGTTTTTGATCTTAGCCATTCTGGCTAGTGTAAGATGATATCTCAGAGTCATTTTAATTTGCATTTCCCTGATGGCTAAGGATGTTGAGCATTTCCTTAAGTGGCTTTTGACCATTATAGAGAATCCTTTGTTGAGAATTCTCTGTTTAGATCTGTACTCCATTTTAATTGGATTATTTGATATTTTGATATCTAGTTTCTTAAGTTCTTTGTGTATTTTGTAGATCAGCTCTCTCTCCAACGTGGGGTTGGTAAAATTTTTTTTCCCATTCTGTAGGCTGTCGTTTTGTCTTGGGACTGTGTCCTTTGCCTTACAGAAGCTTCTCAGTTTTAGGAGGTTCCATATATTGTCGATCTCAGTGTCTGTGCTACTGGGGTTATAATTAGGAAGCGGTCTCCTGTGCCTATGTGTTCAAAACTAGTCCTTACTTTCTCTTCTCTGAGGTTCAATGTGACTAGATTTGTTGAGGTCCATTTGGATTTGAGTTTTGTGCAAGATGATAGATATGGATCTGTTTGCATTCTTCTACATGTCGACATCCAGTTATGCCAGCACCATTTGTTGAAGATGCTTTCCTTTTTCCATTGTACAATTTTGGCTTCTTTGTCAAAAGTCAGGTGTTCATAGGTGTGCAGATTAAATATAAGGCTCTTTGATTTGATTCGATTGGTCCACCTGTCGGTTTTTGTACCAATACCAAATTGTTTTCATTCATTCTCTATAGTAGAGATTGAAGTTTGGGATGGTGTACAGGACTGTTTTGGCTATTCTGAGTTTTTTGCTTTTCCATATGAAATTGAATTGTTTTGGGATTTTGATGTGGATTGCATTGAATATGTAGATTGTTTTTGGAAAGATTGACATTTTTACTTTGTTGATTCTACTTGTCCAAGAGCATGGGAGATCTTTCCATTTTCTGATAACTTCTTCAATTTCTTTAAAGACTTGACGTTGTTGTCATACAGGTCTTTCACTTGTTTAGTTAGAGTTACCCTGAGATATTTTATGTTGTTTAAAACAACATAAAATTTATTTTTATTTTATGTGTATGAGTGTTTTCCCTGTGTGTGTATGGGTGGTCAGAAGACAACACTGGATCCCCTGGAACTGGAATTAACAAACAGTTGTGAACTGACGTGTTGTTTTTGGAAACTGAGCCTGGGTCTTTTGGAAGAGCAGCCAGTGCTCTTAACCACTGAGCCATCTCTCTAGCCCTGTTTTGTTTCTTTTTAAGTTTGTATTCCTTTTAAATGAGGCAGATGCTTTAAAAAAACAAAAAAAAACATGTTTTTGTTCCTGATTTATTTAAGTGTGATTTTGTAAATTTGCAAACTTAAAAAAAAACCAAAATACAAAAATCAGTGTATATTTTTGTATAAAATCTTAGATTTTTTTGGGTCATTCTGATATATATGAACCATGTGCTTTGACCTATTCACCCATTTGTTTCCTTCTTTTGTATTATTCTTCTACTTGTTCCCTTCCCAATGTCTTCTCTTTGTTTTCAAGTCTTAAAAACAAACAAACAAACAAACAAATCCCTTGCCTAACTATTTATTTGCTTGTTGTGGAAGTCAGAAGATAATTTATAAGTTAGTTCTCTCTACAGTTACATTTTGAGGATTTAATTTAGGATTGGCAGGAAGCATCTTTAGCCACTAAGCTAAGCTGTCTTGCCACCCTGCTTTCTCCTTTTTGAAAATCTAGTTTCTCTTAAGAAAGAAAACTTAAAAGGTGGGGCCCTGGAGAGCTAGCTCAGTGGTTAAGAGCACTTGCTGCTTTGCAGAGGACCCAGGTTCAGTTCCCAACACCCACAAAGGTTGCTCACAGCTATTTCTAACTCCAGGATATCTGATGCTCTCTTCTGGCTTCTATCAGCACTACACACATATGGTGGACTAACATGTACATAGGCAAAATGTTCATGTACATTAAATGAAAATAAACAAAACTTTAAAAAGAAGAGAATCTACATACTACTTGTCTTTGTGACCCTGTCTTATCATTTGCCCACATGATCCTCTCTGGTTCCATCCATGTTATTGCAAACAATATAACTTACTTAGTACTTATTGAGTAATAATTTGTTGTGTAAAATGGGCCTTTCCCCCTATTTATGTGAATTTGTAATTTGTTATAGTTTATTTGGGTCACTTTCTTTGTATTATACATGCTAACTGAACTTCAGAACTATCTATTTAGTTTTTTTTTTTTTTTTTTTTTAGAGTCTCTGTATGCCTCTGTTTCTCAAGTGTTGGCTTTAAAAGCTCCTATAGTAACTTTTGGGGACTATTTTATTCTGTTTTAATTCTGAAAATATTCTTTCCTAAATAAAACTATATTTAGATTTTCTATTTTCAGTTTTGGTGGAGCAGTTTTTTCTTTTCAATTATTTATTTTTATTTGTATTGGTGTTTTGTCTGCATGCATGTCTGTGCGAGGGTGTTAGATCTTGGAGTTACAGTTGTGAGCTGCCATGTGGGTGCTAGGAATTGAATCCAGGTCCTTTGAAATAACAGTCAATGCTTCTAACCACTGAGCCATCTCTCCAGCCCAGAGCAGCTTTTTTTATTTGTTAAAAGTAGTTAGTTTCTTTCTGCCTTGCAGTCTCCCTCCCTTCTTCCCATCTTTCTTTTAAAACTGTTGTAATCATTTGAAGATGGAGAGTGATAGCTGTGTGAGCTTTACAGGATAAAGGGTTTTGACAAGGAAGATCTAGTAATATGTTTGGGGCTAACAATACTTTGTAGCTATTTTTTTTTTTTTTTAAGGTTGTGGGGGAAAGGTCTTCCTACATAGCTCTGTCTGTTCTGGTACTTTTTGTAGACCAAGCTGATGTAGATTTGATACAACAGTCTATACAATAGTATTTTCTCTGTGCAGGTTTCACTTTTTGAACTCTGCATTGTTCTTTTCTCAAGTGAGGATTGTTATTTTTGGGTACCACAGTCTTAAAATGTTATGTTGATCTAGTAAATCTTCACCGAAAAAAATCACAAAGAGAGAGTAGAGATTGTGCAGACCATCTCAGATTTTAGGAATTTTGGGCTTTATTGGCTAGAGAGGACTAAAAAGACATAAATATTCTGAAGTCTTTGAAGGATTATGTTAGAAGAGATGAAAGAGACTTGAACACTTAGGGCCAGTGGTGGATATTATGATTCATATATTTCAGTTTAACGCAAAGTCATTATAGCTTCCTAACAATGAATTTTCTGTATCTGGGTGAAGGTACATTTCATTGGAAAGTGGTAATCTTAATTGTCCACACATTTCTCTCTAAACCTGTGTGTAAGCATCCATACATTACTATTGTAATATTTCAGGAAATAATTTGAAGTATGACCTTCACATATGCCCTGCTACTCTACTAGTTGTCTGTGTGTCCGTGTGCACAGTCAAGAAATAATAATCTCTAATGGGAACTTACTTTCTTACAGACCAAATGTCTTTTCTGAATAATAACTATAGGAACAGTTTGGTTATTTACTACCTTAATATAATTGAAGTAGAAATACACTTTTTTTTTTCTCTCTGTACTCTTTTCCAGGGTGATTTTAGAGCTTCTTTATACAAAGGAGGCAGAGGATGACAAACCCAATAACCTTTGAAGTTAGTCTACTCCAAGCTCACACTATGTTTATAATTTTGGATGTGTCTATTAATTGACAATTTTAGTTTGATTTCCAATAGATATCTTAAAATTTTATAAAAATAATTTGTTTTATATGCATTGGTGCTTTGCCTTAATTATGCCTGTATGAGGGCATCAGTTTCCCTGGAATGAGTTACAAGCAGGTCTGAGCTGCCATGTGGGTGCTGGGAATTGAACCTAGGAAAAGCAGCCAGTGCTCTCTCTTCACAACTGAACCATCTCTCTAGGTTGAATAGATATCTGTGTGTGTGTGTGTGTGTGTGTGTGTGTGTGTGTGTGTGTCTGTGCGCTTGCATGTGGAGGTCTGATCACAATTTGGTGTGTTCCTCTTCCTCAAGCACTGTTCTTGTTAATTAGGATAGGCAGGATGGTTGGCCATCGAGCCCCAGCGATCCGTGTGTACCCATCTCCTCAGTTCAGGGTCTCTAGGAAGGTGCCACTGTGCCTTTTATTTAAAAAACAAATACTTTTATTTAATGTTGTGTGCACCATGTAGTGATGCCTGAGGAGCCAGAAGAAGGCATTTGGTCCTCTAAACTGGAGTTACAGATGGTTTATGAGCCACCATATGGGTGCTGGGAGCTGATCTCTGGTCCTCTCTAAGAGCAGCAAGTGCTGTTTACCACTGAGCCATCTTTCCAGCCCTGTCTATTGTTTTATGTGGGTGCTGGGATCAGACTTGAGTCTTCATGCTTGTGTGGTAAACACGTTATAAACAACTCATTTCTCCAGCTCTCTAATAGATAACTTTAATGATTTTTTCCCCATTGGCAAAATGGTTGTGAATAGTTTGTGTGTGCATGTGTGCATGTGTTTGTTTATTTTACTTCTGGTTCTTCCATTTATAGTGAGGTCTTTTTTTTCTTTTGCTTCTTATGTTCAATATTAGGGCAATAACTTTTCTTTTTCTTACTATTTGGGAAGTATTTAATATTAAAATAGTATTTTTTTATAAATGACTGAGTTCGTTTCAAACATACCTTACATTATTTCCTTCAGCTCATTGTATGTCAAGTAATAAGAATGCCTTGTATTATTTATTTAGTTATAATTTATTGTACTATTTAATATACAATTTGGATTATTTTATGACAGCCCTAAGATTGTATGTTTATTTCTATGCATGCTAAAAACAGCAATGTAAATTTCCTTGTGGATGTCATTTGGATTATCTCATAATGATAAGTCTTAGTGGAATGACTTCTGAGATCTGTTATACAAGGCAACTAACTTTATACTCATTCTTTCATGTGACTACAAGTCACATGAAATACTTTATTGATTTACTTTAGAAATTTGTATAATTTATATTCATAAATCCTTGGTAAGTTGTTGTTTAGATTCTTTTGTCAACAGTGCTATAATTTTGAAGATCATTTCCAGCTATCTACTGTTGTATAATAATTTACAGTAATAATTTCAAGAATAATTATTTATATTCTATTATAATGCTGCTGGTGACATTTCACATGGAAGAAATGGATTTAAATATTATTTCATAATTGTCTGCATGGTTGACATTATGATCCTTTTATGAGGGATGGAGAATGGGCTTGTTTAAGTTGAGAGAGGTTATCCCTGAAGTAAGGAACTAGTTACAGTTGTGGATTTTATTTACTCTTTTGCATAGTGATATTAATAGTTAATATTAGTCACAAACTTATCACAAGTGTCCCATTTAGAGATTTTAATCTGATTGAGTGTTTTTATTTCTTGGTGACTTTTAGAAACTGACAGAAGAGAAATACCAAGTGGAACAATGTATAAGTGAAGCTTCCATTATAGTTCGGAACATGAAAGAGCCCACACTGACTTTGAAGGTGATACTTACTTCTCCTCTAATTAGGGACGAATTGGAGAAGAAAGATGGAGGTACATGTGTGTATATATATCCACATACATACATATCTATGTTTTGTTTTGTTTATGTAACAGCTCTTTTCCATACTGTGATAACTATGTTTTGGGATTTAGGAGGTTACAGACTTCATTTGCTTCTGTATGCTATCCCGTGATATTTTTAAAGTTTTGTTTTTACATAGTATATTTTGCAGTTTCAGAGACCTGTGTATCATGTGGGCTTTAATTCTGCTTTAATTTTCCTACATTTCGATGATCTGTTTTCCTTTTTTTAGTATAATTTGAAGTCATTGGTATCTGCTAACCAGTTCTATTATACTGGCTTACTGATCAGATTCAGAATTAAATATAGTCTAAGACAGAAGTATTTTAAAATTTGCTTGCTTATTTTGAAATTATTCACGTGTTGTGTTTGACTTCTAATAATTACATACCCTTAAAAATTTTAGTTACTTGCCGGGCAGTCGGGGCGCACGCCTTTAATCCTAGCACTTGGGAGGTAGAGGCAGGGGATCTCTGTGAGTTTGAGGCCAACCAGGTCAACAGAGCGAGATCTCAGGACAAACTGAACTGTTACACAGAGAAAACCCTGTTTCGAAAAACAAAACAAAACAAAAAAAGTTGAATTTCTTGTGTGTACATTTGGTTTATAGAATAAAAAGAATTAGTGAGTATATTTTACTCTTTTAATCTTCAGAGAGTATATATTTGTGTGTCTGTTTGTGTGTGTGTGTGTGTGTGTGTGTGTGTGTGTGTGTGTGTGTATGGGCATATGTGCACACAATTTTTATTTTGGATTCAGGGTTTCCCTGCATAGCCTTGTTGACTTGAAATTTGCTATGTAGAATTTTATGGCTTTGAACTCAGATACTTATGCCTGCTTCTATCTCTTCAGTGCTGAGATTAAAGGCTTGAGCCAGTTCACCTGCCTTGAGTAAATTTTTGAGAAACTTTTTACCCTGTTACATTTTAAATAAGATGTGCGTTAAAAAAAAATCACTGTATGACACTGTCATTCTCATAAATATAGAAGAGAAATTACCTAACTGTTGCTAATTTTGAAAAGTAATGAGGTATGTATGGTGATCTTCATTTTCTTATGTTTTATCTTTTCAAGTTATCTTTTTCGTACTCTTAGTCCAATTCAAAGATAAATGCCATGAGATATTTTCACTGTGTTGGACCTTTGACCTACTTAGCACTCTGTCAAAACAATTTCAAGGCCCTATGGTATATATGGGCCAGTAGAATATTTGCTATCTCATTTCATACCCCTTTATCACAAATACCACGAAAGTAAAACGGAATAGGTCAGTTTTGTAGTTTATTTCAGATTGTTAAATATAGAAAAAGGCACACTTAACTGTGAAGTAGATTTTTGAGTTTTAGTTCCTAGACATGAATCATAGACTCCTGGAACTAAAATAGATGGTCACCTTTTTAAAAAAGTTTTTTTTGGGGGAGGGTAGGTGGGTTAGGTTATGTGGTCGACTAAAAGTCAGAAACCAGATACATCCAATAAATAAAAGTACATCCAATCTATAGTTGGGTTTAATGCCTGTACTTTATTCCTTATGTAACATTTTGTAGCACCTTGGAAGAACCATTCTCTTAAATGGCTTAATTTTTTTTAACAGCAGATCTATGATTTCTGGTTTTCTGGTGTGTCAAGATGAGTTAATTTTGGTAAGCTGTGTTCTACTTGACCCTGTTGTACAAAACCAGCCATTTCTATGTAGAGTTGTAATTATAGGTGCTACTAAACATTTTTTTCAAGGTTTTGTTTGTGTTGGTTGTTTTTTTTGAGATATGGTTTTTCTGTATAGCCTTGGTTGTCCTGGAACTTTCCCTGTTGGACAAGGTTGGCCCCAAACTTACAAAGATCTACTTGCCTTTGCCTCTCGAGTGCTGGGTTTAAAGGTGTGTACCACTACCACCTGGCTCTAAACATTATTTTTATATTGAGAGATGTTTGTTTATATCTGCTCCTTGCCTTACCTTTCATGGTATCAGGAAAATTCAAAGCTTTTTCTCTTGTGGTTTTGTGTACTTACATGGGGTTTTTTGTCATAGCTATCAGTTTTGATTCCCTCAGGCTTAACCTGTTGTTTAAAAATCTTAATTTTGGTACAGAGACACTGAAAACAGGCTCTGTTAATCACAGATTGGGGATTTGTATCAAACAGATTCACAGTCTTTGTTTTAGGTGTGAGGTGTTTTGAGTTACTAAGGATCTAAAGTCTTCCCTGTGCTGACTCATTAGCTGATGAGTTTAGTTAAGGTTAAGGCGTAAACTTGGAGCTGTTTTTTTTTTCTTAACAGATGTTACTTCTCTTCTTGAATGACAGGAAGTTTTTCTTTGCTGTTCTTAACAGCTCAGCCCCGTTGACCAACTTGATTATTTCTCAGCTTATTCATTTTTTCTATGGGACCTTTGTCATAGACACCTTTTGTCTATTTCCTGGGCAACTTGGAACATCCAACATAATTGAGCATCTGCAATCTGGATTATGCAGTTCTGTTTGTTCACCTAGACACTATTCTTTCCCTTGATGTAAATCTTTCCATCTGCATACGACAAAGCACATTTAGCTTTCAGGGATATCGGGCACTGAAAGCTCTTCCCTTCTCTTCATTTTCTTTCTCAAAGTTAAGCAATGTTTTGTATTATCTTCCTCCATCCTAAGACATTGTATTATAGTATTCTGATTTGCTTTACCACTCCCAAACACACAATTTGCAGCAGATACACAAATTATCTATTTTTCTTCCCTGTCTTAACTTGCTAAGTTTGACAAAATCTAAACGAGAGGAAAGAAAGGTTGAGAGAAGGCAGAGCCAGAGGACTGGGGCTAAGATAGGTCATTAGATTTCTCTTTAATATCTTCTGTGTAGAAGTGGATAACCATTCACGTCAAACCACCATTTATTTTTTAAGTTGTCAAGAGTGAATGAAAAATAACCTTTTTGAGGCAGGTGGATGGATACCTGAGTTCGAGACCAGCCTGGTCTGCAGAGTGAGTTCCAGGACAGCCAGGACTACATAGAGAAACCCTTTCTCGAAAAACAAAACAAACAACAACAACAAAAAAGTCTGTTTTAAAAAAATGTCACAAGGGCTGGAGAGATGGCTTAGTGGTTAAGAGCATTGCCTGCTCTTCCAAAGGTCCTGAGTTCAATTCCCAGCAACCACATGGTGAATAAATACTAAAAAAAATGTCACAAGTAAGACTTCTTGTATGCTATCAGTGCTAGCATAGTTTAACCCTTTACTAGAAAGCCATTTCCCTAGTACTAGGTATGTCCTTAAAAGAAAAGTACAAGAGCAAAAGCACAGATCTTGCTGCATAACATCTGTGTGTTCAGTTGTTCACCTTATTAGTTTTGTGTGACATTGGACACACTTCTTAATTTCAAAGTATAGATAATAAAGAAACAGTAAATTGTTTGCAGCGTTCAGTGAGAGACTACATGTACAGTGGGGTATACAACTAACTTCACAGTAGTGAAGCACAGAAACTACTCTGCTTACAAACACTGTTGTGTGCTCAGACTGTCTCAGCAGAGTGATGTGGTCGTACGAGGTTTAGACAGCTGAGCTACTTATTTACTCATTTTTTAAGTTTATTTTTGTTTTTTTGAGACAAAGACTTAGTATGTAGCTCTGTCTGCGCTGGAACTCACCAAGTACGTCAGGTTGATACACTAGGTTAGCCTTGAACTCAGAGATCCTCCTGCCTAAGTAAGCCTCCTGTATCTAACCCCTGCCACACTCATCCACGTAGCTAAACTTTAAACCACACTTGAAATACGCAGTATTAGTTAGTGTACAGTGTACTCTGTGGTGCTAGTAATGAGCTTGCTTGTTGTGTAGTTATGTTCCTTGGAAGGCAGGTGTCTTTTCCGCCGCCTCCTCCTCCGCCTATCCTTTGTCCTAAGCACCTAGCACCGTACCTGATACAGAGGTAGATTACTAGAGAGTACCACACATTAATCTTCACAGGGAATGTTCAGTCAATATACTGTCTGAGAAAATATAGTACAGTGTATAAAAAAAAGAAAAATTAACAATAGGCAACATCTTACATGGCTTGAATAATATTTATTGGAGATTTATTTCTGTTAGTGTTATACCCACCATGTTATAATCCACATATAAATAAAAAGAAAAAACTCACAGTGGCCTTAGAAGGGAGGTAACTGTTGGGCTGTTATAAGCAGGAATGTATCATATTTTGTTTAGCTAATCTGATAAAGTCCAGTATAGAATCCTCTAGTCCCTTCCTGCCTGGGGTTTCTGCATGGACTTGTAGTTGATTGTTTCTTTCTAACCATAAATAACATGACCTTAACTTTGGTGCTTGTGATTTTATAATAGAAATATATTTGCTATTGGGGGGGATGATAAATTGTTAAAAATTATGTTTACATTGCAGTTGTAAATTAAGAAGATAGTGAAAAATAGTGTTTTCTGTCATACTACTGAGGTAGAGTCAGAGCTTGATAGAGAAGAGTTGTTCTAGAGTTCCTTTTCACCTGATGATGCCAGGGTGGACTTCTGGCTCTTTTTGGCAGAGGTTCACAGGTATATTTCCTGTTAGGGTCAGGACAGTAGATTGTTGCAGTCCATAATTGTGCTGCAGGTTTTATTTTCCTGCCTTCCCCAGGTGCTGAATATGCCCTATGCAGAGCAAACCTATGGTCATTTTCTTTCAGGGGCTTTATTATCACAATGATAGTGTTTGTGGCATAATTAGACTAAGAGGATAGTGCTTCTTGGTTCTACCTTATTGCTACATCTGTTTGATCATATTACTATGTCCTTGTGTTTTTTTCATGAATGGTAGTTCAGACATAATGTCTTTGCAGAAAACTTCAAGGAATTGAGAGAAAGGAGATTTGAGAATATCCTTAGACATACTAAAAAGTTCTGTAGGGTTAACTGACAGCTCGGCTTTGTCCAGAATTTTATGAAGACTACCACAATACCCCAGCTCAGTTATTTCACTTTTGAGGAGTCTAGACATATAACACAGCCACATTCATTTATGGCTTTCCTTGTTCTTCCTCTCCAGGATAGTATTTTGTTAACAGGGGCAGATAACTTGCATGTAAGGCACTAAGAAAACATCTGTGCGCTGCAGAACAGTGTTTGCTGGTGGTCACTGATCTAACCTTTAACCAAGTGAGCAGGTTTAGGCATAATAGACTTCAGTGCTTCCTTTGTTGCACATACATTGGTCCAGTACACATAAACATACTGATGGCAGATTACAAAATCATTTTTAAAAGCTGTATTTTTCTTTGTATTTGGCATTTTTGTCAATACTTGTCCATTTTATGCTATTTTTTATATTTTCTACAAAGCAAGTGAAATAGGTCATAGTTCTGTACTTTAAATTATATTCATTCATTTTTGAGACAGTTTTTTTTTGTGCACCCTTGGTTTTGAATTCCAATCTGGTCTGGAACTCACAGATACCCATCTGCCTGTGTCTGAAAGTGCTGGGGTTAAAAGTGTTTAGAACACAACTCCAGTGGTTCTGTTGTTTTTAATTAATTAATGACAATTTTTAAAGTAAGTCTTTGCTCACCTAATAAAATTGAAATACATACACACCTGTAGTAAGGTCCTGAAGTATTAAACTTGCTGTTTCATCAGGAGGGCATTGTTTTCCAGGCAGTAGTTCTATGATTGGCACATTAACAGTTTTATTAGTAAAAATATGTAAAACTGTATTATTAGCCATAGAAAGGAAATCGACAAGCTGGGCTGATAAGTAGCACTGAGGGATGCCATATGTTAATGTGTCACATAATATAATAAAAAAAAATCCTTAAAGATAAAATGTATTGTTATACCCCTGTTGTTCCCAGCTTCATGAATAGTAAAACATTTTGGATCTTTTCACTGTCAGAGCATAAAGAAACGTGGCTATTTGATGTTGTTGTAAGAGGAATCTGTTTACAAGTCCTCAGTGCTTTTCCCTTTCTTCTCTTTTTAGTAAAATCTGTTGTTTCCAAATGTTGACTGATTTATAGCAAGATGTTGTCTTGATTTTTTTAAAAATAACAATTTATGGTAGTAATCTGATTTTGAGATGAAAGAAGTCATCAAAAATATCTTTCTCTTGTCACCATTGCAAATATCTGTGTCACAATTAGGGTAAGGTACTTACCATCTCTGGCCATTTGACAAGATACTTTAAGGTGAGCAAAGAGTTCTGGCTTACTGGGTCTTACCTCTCTCCCCTCTTTCTGTACTTCTCTTTCTTTGTCACCTTCTTTCTGACACTTCAACTCATTAAAATGGGTAGAATAAAACTTACTGTTAATTTAAAAATCAAGTTGTAAAAAGAAAATAACCAATTTGAATTATGTACCTTAACAGTCAGTCAACCTTTGTCATATCTACCTTTCAAGAGATTCTAATAACTGGCCAGGTAGTGTCGGCGCACACCTTTAATTTTAGCGCTCGGGAGTCAGAGACAGGTGGATCTCTGAGTTTGAAGCCAGCCTGGTCTACAGAGTGAGTTCCAGACACCCAGGGCTACACAAAGAAACCCTGTGTTGAAAAACAAAACAAGAAAAGAATTAGAATATTCTAATGACTCATTTAGAGATGCCTTAGCTTTTATATGAACTTTACACAAATGCCTTTATTGACTACAATAAAACAATTTGATGATAAAACGTTGAAATGACTCAGTTGTATATTTTGTGCCTGTAAACACAAGCCCAGGACTTTCACCTATGAGTACCGTATTTGTTTGGGTTTTTAAATGAGTCTATATCTGATTATTCTTTTAGAAGCTTCTGATTTTATTAGTAGAAATCATAAATGAATTCAGACCTAGCATTGTGATTTTTGTTGGTAGGGGTTAATTGGAAACAATGCAGACTTCTGCTGTGGAGCTCACTTGGTAGGAAATAAGTTGTAGTACTTCATTGGTTAGTGTTGCAGTAGTATAGGGTTCTTCCTTAAAATTGTGGTTTTATTTGGGCATTATACCTTCAGTTTTAGAAATGTTGTAACTAGTAGAATAAACTCTAGGTTTGCTACTGTAGAGTCACTGATAACTAAGGAAGCTAAAAAGTTTCCATGCTCTTGTGCACCATTTAAAAGTATTTACATCCTTTGGACCATGCAGTTTACTCCATATCTACTGTTAGAACCAAAAAAAAAAAAAAAAAAAAAAGAAGAAGAATATTGAGACGTGTTAGCGGGACTCATACTTAAAAGCATTCTTAAGAGAGAGTAATGAATCTGACACAAGGTTAGACAATCTTTCTGTAGGAATCCATTTGTAGAACTATGTTTTTAAATAATGCATCACAAGACTTCAAAAATTAACAAACCTGCTTCTCCATACTTAGTGGAAATGAACTTGGTGACAGAAACTTGGATTTAGTATCAAGTATGTGTATTTATAGTTATCCAGGTTTCTATTTTTTTTTTGCTTTTTACCATATCAAATAGTTATGAAATAGTAAGGCAAATCAAATGACCATGGTTATATAGCAGTCTATGAGCTAGTTGCCTTAAAGAACAAGAGATCAATAAATATGAAATACATTCTATTTATTTTATATTTGTAGTTTTAAAATTTTGGCTCCAAAAAGAAATATTGAATGAATGAACTTCAAGGTAACTGTTTCTAGTGGTGGTTATTTTTAGTGATTTTGATTGTTTAGAAGCAAATAATTTCCTATTTGGTCACACTCAGTATACTTTCAGCTTATTCAATTTTGTTATTACATAAGAGGTCCAACTTTTTTAGCTCCTAATAAGTTATCAAAATTTCTTTTATTAAAAATTTTTTAAGCTAGGCGGTGGTAGTGTGCATGCCTTTAATCCCAGCACTCAGGAGGCAGAGGCAGGTGGATCTCTGTGAATTTGAGGCCAGCCTGGTCTACAAGAGCTAGTTCTAGAACTGGCTCAAGCAACACAGAGAAACCCTGTCTCCAAAAAACAAAAACAAACAAACAAACAAACAAACAAAAACCCAAAAAATATTTTTTTTAATTGCTGGGTGGGAGCACTTGAGAGGCAGAGACGAGCAGATCTCTGTGAGTTCAAGGCCAGTTGGTCTGCAGAGCAAGTTCCAGGACAGGCTCCAAAGCTACACAGAGAAACCCTGCCTTGAAAAACAAACAAAAGGAAGTTTTTATTTCAATTGTTCCCAGATGTCGTTCTTGTAGCTTCCCAAATGAAAAAGTGCTGTGTATTTATTTTGTTTTCTCTGATCATATACATGTTCATTAGTAAGATCCTTGATTGTTTATAAGAAGCTGTGGTTACTGATTCCTTTGTTGAGTGAATTCCTTTACTTTTTCTTGTACTTTTTGCACAGAATCTGATGACTGTTTATTTAAATAATGTTCACTTAATTAGAAAAAAAGCAACAAACCCAAGTATTGAAAATTTCTGGAGTCTTACAAGTTCACTCAAATGCTGCTTTCTTTTGGTTGTTATTGATAATTTTTTAAAGAACCCCCTTTCAAATTATATTTGTTTTCCCTTATCCCATTTTACTACTAGAAAATGTTATGATGAAAGACCCTCCGGACTTACTGGACAGGCAGAAATGCCTGAATGCCTTGGCTTCTCTGCGACATGCCAAATGGTTTCAGGTTGGCGCTTTGTTTCTTCCTTACTGTTCTGTGTCAGTTTTATTTGGAACACCTTCCACTTAGTGTTTTCTGTATGCTGTATGAAATGGAGATACTTTGTAGCTCATAGAGTTATTGTTGGAATAAATCAGTTCCTTTGGATAAAGTTCCTTAGAATAGCTTTCATTTTGTATGTGTGTGTGCGTGTGTGTGTACATAGGTCAGAGGTCAACACCAGTGTTATTTTTCAGGAGCATTTACTTTTTGAGAAAGGGTCTCTTAACTGCAATCTAGAACTCAACAAGTAGGCTAGGCTTACTGGCCAGCAAGCCCCCGGGTCTTCGAGTGCTGTTTCCCTGAGATTCTAAGTGTGTGCCACCACACCTGGCTTTTAAAACATAGGCTCTGAGGGTTGAACTCAATCCTCCATGCTTGCAAAGGAAGCACTTTACCCACCGAGCTGTCCTCCATGATGTTTTGTTATCAAGGAATTCTTTTTGATTTACGATTGTAAGTAGTAGATGGTGGCTTATAAAATAAAAACACAGAAAAGCTGAAAGTTAAGATGGTGCCTGGAATATAGTTGCCATGAGTTCACAAAAAGACTTTTTATGTTATATTCCTTTTACTTAAAAACCTGCCTTTTTGAACCATAACTTGCTAATTTTCATAATTTGATTTTTCTTGGTTTGCTTGATAACCTCTAAATTATTTGCTAATTGGTATTCATTTTAAAAAAAACTTATCCAAGACCAGTGTGTTTCAAATGAGGAATGGAATTCTACAGGGATATTGGAATCATTTTGTTTGTTTTAGGCAAGGGCAAATGGATTAAAATCATGTGTAATTGTCCTCCGCATTCTGCGTGATTTGTGCAACAGAGTACCCACATGGGCGCCGTTGAAAGGATGGGTAAGTACTTAAATCTGAAGCTATAGCAGAGGTAATTCTAGAAATGATGTTACTATAGAATGACGACTATCTTTTGAGTGTAGTTAAGACATCTATTTTCTTTTTTGCCCTAGAATTAATTATGCAGTTTTATGAATTCTTTTATGCATATAACTTCTCTCTTTTGTCATTTTTGTCACATATATATGTATATATATATAAATTTGAAATCTTATATGTTTGTATGTATGTATGTTTATAAAGATCCGCCTGATCTTTATAAAGGTCTTATAAATTTTAGAAATAAGTCCTATTCCGCTTGAACTCTGGACTGATCGTTAATCACTCATGGATCACTTGCTGCCCATGATAGCCTTCTTGACTGGTCCATTGCTGCAGTGTTTTGTTACATTTCTGTGGCGATTATCTCATTGACTGGTGTCTTTTCTAATTCTCATGAAATATAGATACAGATCCAATATGTTAGGTTAAATGCAATGTTATATAATATGTGTAATAAAGTATCTCTGTAATTAGGTTAAGTGCAGTGTTTGCTTGATATTAATTACTAATTAGGATATAACATATATTGTAACATTGACTTAATTTGGAGATTATTATGCCTGATCCACTAAGGACTACAATTTAAAAATTTATGAAAATAATTTAAAATTGTAAGGACTCATTTATAAATTAATGAGCAATTATGAACATTTGTGTAACAAACACAGAGGTGTGGTTCTTGGTTTATTCTAATTGTTGCTCTTGGAACAGGCTATTCAAATGAATTTAACTTTTATAGTTGAGTGTTCCTAACTTAAGTGGGATTTATTTATTAGCTATTATTCATGTAAAAGCTTGTTAAATGAATCATATGACTGTAACTTTATTCTTTTGTAACTAAAATTCAAAGTTTTTGTCTCAAATATTTTTTGAAAATATCTAAAAATACTTGAATTAGAAAATGGTTGGATTAGAGTAGATAATCATGGAGGAAGAGTTAAATGGACCTTAAATATTCAGTTGTCTATACTTTTTGGCTTCCCTTTTAGATAGAAATATCAGCTCACATTTAACTGGAATCCTTTTAACACTTGGTGCATGTACTAATTTGTAATTTAATATCTTCTAGCCACTAGAGCTTATATGTGAAAAGTCTATAGGTACTTGTAATAGACCTTTGGGCGCTGGGGAGGCCTTGAGACGAGTAATGGAGTGTTTGGCATCTGGAATACTACTTCCTGGTAAGGGTTTCAAACTCTCAAGGCAGAAGAATAAGAAAAACAAATCTTAATTTTAGTTAATTTATCTAAACATATACTAAATGTTTGTCCTCTGAAGAGGAAAATGATGTGTAGGAATTGTGTTCTTTAGAATTTTAGCAGCTACAATGGTCTAATTTTTGTTTTATATGTACTAACATAAAGAGTACTAATAGATACTGTGTCTACTATGCATTTGCTTCACCAAGAAGTCTGAATTTGAAATGTAAATGCTTATTTGATAAGAATGAAGTTCATTTTGATTGCAAGTCTAGTCATAAATTTGGAAAAGTTGAGTATGTGATCCATTTACAGATTAGGTATATTCATCATGTTGTAAATTTTGGAGTAAGGCTCATTTTGGTATTAGTTGACTTCCAGTAAAAAATAGGTGTAGTTAGGTGCTAATACTGCAAATGACAGATTGTCCTTAATACTCTACTTCTTTGAGCAGACTTTTAACTTAGTTCTTCATTTTTTTCCTTCTCTCTTTTGTTACTTTGATGTTTTAAACTCATTTCTAAATTTTTATTTTTTCTTGCCTTTGCCTTAGGGGGTCCTGGCCTTCATGATCCTTGTGAGCGAGACCCAACAGATGCTCTGAGCTATATGACCACTCAGCAAAAAGAAGAAATCACTCATAGTGCACAGGTATGAGACTGGTATCACTAACTGCTTAGAAGGGATACCATATCTTCCATTTCTGAATTGTTCTATGTGGTTACTTTTCTTGTATGTTTAAATTTGGGAATTCTACCAGTATAATATATTATCATTATGTAAAGAATCTGAGTTAAATGTCATATAAGTGAGAATGGTTATTGATATTTTATTAAATATAATGTTTTATTCTTTAGCATGCACTTAGACTATCAGCCTTTGGCCAGATTTATAAAGTGTTGGAAATGGACCCCCTTCCATCCAGTAAGCCTTTTCAGAAGTATTCCTGGTCAGTTAGTGATAAAGAAGGTGAGTATGAAAGGTTTTTTGTTTGTTTTTGTTTCTCATTAGAGTTGAGGGTTAACATTGATGGAGTGGTGTGCACCTTGTTTAGGGAGCTTAAACATTTAATTGACTTCTATCCAAAACATCAGTGATATCAGCCTTCTGTCTCAATTGTTATTAGTGATGAGGTTTTTTTCTGTGTTGCTAGATTTTGTTACTGCATAGACTTAGGAATCATACTTTAGGCTTTGGTCTAAGAGGAGATAAAAACGTTAAGAAGAGACATCATTCCTGTCACTGGTCAGTGTGATGAACTTTCTGAAGCTTGCAAGTACTTTGTAGAAAGAAAGGGAAACAAAAATATAGGGGATGCGAAAAATGTATTGAAAAACTCATGACCACCCTCCATTTGTACTTGTCTGCCTGTACTCGTATGACAAAACATTTCCTGGGCATATGAAACACATTCATCTTTCCACTCCAGATAGGGAATTCAAGACAGACCAAAGTACAGATAACACCAAAGTCCAATTTGGTGAACCAATGAGTTTTATTGGGGTTAACCGTGGGTGAGAAGTTATTTACAGGATCAGAAATGACTCAGCTGCATCACCAAAGCTCACCCCAGCGTGGTTGACAGTTGGTAAATACTAGTAAATGGAAAAAGGCTGGGAAACCTGAGCACACTGCATAGCCTACAGACATCTCAACATGTTGGAGAGTGTCTTTCTTTCTAGGTGTCACCATGTGGGTCCTGGGAAACAAGTCCAGGTCCTTTGCAACAGCAACTAGTGCCCTTCTTAACCTCTGGTGTTCCCCCCCCCCCCAGTCTCTTCTGTTAATTTAGATCTAATTTTGATTAGATCTTTCTTTCTGGTTAATTTGGCTAAAGGTTTGGCAATTTTGTTTTAGTTCCCCCCATCAAAGAACCATCTCTTTATATCATTGATTCTGTATTGTTATTTTTCTTTCCTACTTCATTATTTTCAGCCTTATGTTGATTATTTCTTCCTACTTTCTTTGGGTGTTTGTTCTTTTTTATTTTTTTAAGTTTTCAAGTATATAACATGAGATCTCTCTAGTTTCTTGATGATAGGCACTGTACTGTGGCCCTTCCTAGTAGGACTGCCTTTAGTGTTTTGCATAGATTTTGGTATATTATGTCGTATTTTTATTTTGATTCAATTCTGCGAAGTTTTACACCTCTGTGGTTGTCCTGGAACTTGCTCTGTAGACCAGGCTGGCCTTAAATTTAGATATCTGCTTCCTTCTGTCTCCCGAGTGCTTGGGAGGCAGAGGAAGTTGGATCTCTGTGAGTTCAAGGCCAGCATGATCTACAGAGCTCGTTCCAGAGCAGCTTGTTCAGTTATACAGAGAAAGCCTGTCTCGAAAAACCAAAAAGGAAAAAAAAAAAAAAAAAAAAAAAGGCTTGTCCCACTACTGCCTGATTTCAATTTCCTTTTGATTCTCCCTTGACCCAACTTTCATTCAGTATCTTGTTGTCTTGTTTCCATGAGTTTGTCTGTTTTATGCCATTTCTATTGTTGTTGGAATTCAGCTTTATACTTTTGTGACCAGAGGATGCAGGATATTTAGTTTTTCTATATTTGTTGAGACTTGCATTGTGGTCAGTTTTGGAAGAAAGTGAATTCTTTACTGTTTGCATAGAATGTTCTGTTAGGTCCATTTGATTTATGATGTCATTTAACTCCGGAGCTTCTCTGTTTGTATCTGGATAACCTTTTGATGGGAGTGGGTTATTGGAGTCCTACAGTTTCACTGTGTTAGTGTCAGTCTGTGAGTTTTAGATTGTTTCTTTTATGAAGTTACCCAATTTCATATTTGCCCCTTTGTTGTGTAAATGTTTAGAATTGTGGTGTGTTCTTGGTGAATTTTTCCTTTAATGAGTATGAATTGTCCTGTCCTGTCTAGTTTTGGTTTGAAATCTGTTTTGTTTGGTATTAGAATATCCTATTTGTCTTTTAGTTCTATTTGCCTGGAATATCTTTTTCTGTCCTTTTACCCTAAAGTGGTGTCTGCCTTTAATGAGATGTGTTTTTATTTTATTTTATTTTATTTTATTTTATTTTATCTTATTTGTTTTTTGAGACAAGGTTTCTCTGTAGCTTTGGTGGCTGTCCTGGAACTAGCTCTTGTAGACCAGGCTGGCCTCAAACTCACAGAGATCCACCTGCTTCTGCCTCCCGAGTGCTGGGATTAAAGATGTGTGCCACCACTGCCCAAGCGAGATATGTTTCTTATAGGCAACAAAAAGAATCATCCTGTTTCCTAATCCCTCTGTTAGTCTGCTTTTAATTGGAAAATTGAGACTTGCTATTTAGAATTACTACTGAGCAGTGTTTATTAATTTTTATTATTTTGTTGTTGTGGTAGTGTTAGGAAAAAATAATCCTAAGAGAGTCGGCTCTGCTGGTGCAAAGAAATACAATTAGGTCAGATCAAACCAAATTAAAATGCCCATTGTTTTATTAAGTATGGTGTTCTTGGGTGGCCAAGCGCATGGTGGGGAGAAGACAGGAAAGCAGGGAGCACATGCAAACCTGGAACCATGTGTTTCTCTTCTGGGAGCCCATTTAAATACTCTGTGGAAGTAGTCCTGACCCTCCCCAAGGGAAGAGTCAGGACCTGGCATGCTGGGATTTGGAGTGCAGACTAATGCAACTCCCAGGCCAGGGGTGGGGCTATGATGGATGCCGGGGGTTGTGATGGATGCCAGGGGCTGGAGCTGTGCTCCAGACTTAACATTCTAGACTCTTTGGATATAGAGGTGACAGGAAGTTGAGGTGATAATTATGACCAACATTTTTGGCTCTCTTTGGAAAAAGGGCTTAGACTCAAGTCTAGCTACTTCCTCCTGGCATGCAGCTGGGTGTTGGTGGGTCCACATTCAGCGTGTGGTGTGGCTGGAAAGGTATCCTGTTCACTGTCATCTCAGAGACGCCAGGCATTTGTTTCTTGAGGAAGGTAAAAAGGCAGGTAGGTGTCTAGGAGGAAAAAAAAATATGAAATGGGGCTAGCCAATAGCAGAGGAAACCAGATTTTAGTTGGCAGGTGTCCTTGATCCAGGAGAGCTGGTACCAGTGGGGAAGTCCAGGAGCTGGTATAGGTGCTTTTGGTGTTGTCCTGGGAACATTTTGTAGGTTGGTCTTGACATAGGCATCAGGAGTAACCTACAAAATATGCTTAAAACTGGCTGGGGTTAAAATTTAAAACCTTGGTTTTTTTTTTTTTAAATTTGCCAAACTTGTATTTCAGTAACCACTTCTACCAGTTAGTTTAAACTATGATACACTGGTGTGAAAGATTTTTTTTTTCAATGATATTTATTGAGCTCTACATATTTCTCTGCTTCTCTCCTCCCTTCAACCCTCCCCCAACGTCCCCATGCTCCCAATTTACTCAGGAGATCTTGTCTTTTTCTACTTTCTACTTCCCACCTAGATTAGATCTATGTAAGTCTCTCTTAGTGTCCATATTGTTGTGTAAGTTCTCTGGGATTGTGATTTGTAGGCTGGCTTTCTTTGCTTTATGTTTAAAAACTACCTATGAGTGAGTACATGTGATAATTGTCTTTCTGTGTCTGGTTACCTCACTCAAAATAACGTTTTCTAGCTCCATCCATTTTCCTGCAAAATTTAAGCTGTTGTTATTTTTTCCTGCTGTGTAGTAATCCGTAATGTAAATGTATCACATTTTCCTTATCCATTCTTCAGTTGAGGCGCACTTAGGTTGTTTCCAGGTTCTGGCTATGACAAACCATGCTGCTTTGAGCATATTTGAGCACATGTCCTTGTGGCACGATTGAGCATCCTTTGGATATATACCCAAAAGTTACTGGGTCTTGAGGAAGGTTGTTTCCTAATTTTCTGAGAAATTGCCACACTGACATCCAAAGGGGTTGTACCAGCTTGCATTCCCACCAGCAATGCAGAAGTGTTCCCTTTTCCCCACAACCTCTCCAGCATAAGTTGTCATCAGTGTTTTTGATCTTGGCCATTCTTTCAAGTGTAAGATGGAATCTCAGAGTTGTTTTGATTTGCATTTCTCTGATGACTAAGGATGTTGAGCATTTCCTTAAGTGTCTTTTCAGCCATTTTAAATTCCTCTGTTGAAAGTTCTCTGTTTAGGTCTGTACTTTTTTTATTTGATTATGTGATCTTTTGGTGTCCAATTTCTTAAGTTCTTTGTATAATTTTGGAGATCAGCCCTCTGTCTGATGTGGGGTTGGTGAAGATCTTTTCCCATTCTGTAGGCTGTTGTTTTTTGTTGACGATGTCGTTTGCTTTACAGAAGCTTTTCAGTTTCAGGAGGTCCCATTTATTGTTTCTCTCAGTGTCTATGCTGCTGGGGTTCTATTTAGGAAATGGTTCCCTGTGCCAGTGTGTTCAAGTGTACTTCCCACTTTCTCTTCTATAAGGTCCAGTGTGGCTGGCTTTATGTTGAGGTTTTTGATCCATTTGGACTTGAGTTTTGTGCATGGTGATAGATATGGGTCTATTTTCATTTTTCTACATGTTGATTGATATTCAGTTATGCCAGCACCACTTATTAAATATGCGTTCTTTTTTCCATTTGATATTTTTTGCTTCTTTATCAAATATCAGGTGTTCGAAGATGTGTGGATTGATATCCGGGTCTTCTATTTGGTTCCATTGGTCGTCCTGTCTGTCCTTCTGCCAGTACCAGGCTGTTTTCAGTATTATAGCTCTGTAGTAGAGTTTGAAGTCAGGGATTGTGATGCCTCCAGAAGTTTTTATTGCTCAGGATTGTTTTGGCTGTCCTGGGGTTTTTGCTTTTCCAAACGAAGTTGAGTACCGTTCTTTCGAGGTCTTTGAAGAATTTTGCTGGGATTTTGATGGGCACTGCGTTGAATCTGTAGAATGCTTTCGGTAAGATTGCCATTTTTACTATATTAATTCTACCTACCCAGGAGCATGGGAGGTCTTTCCACTTTCTGGTGTCTTCAATTTCTTCAAAGATTTAAAGTTCTTGTCATACAAGTT